GTTTCTTCAACAGCAGTTATCTTTGTTCCAAAGAAAAATTGTTATTGCAGTGTTTTCAAGAAGCAGAAAGAACGTAAAAACTTTTTCTAGTCAGAGATTAAGAAAATAATTTATATTCGATAAGTAAATTATACCGTTCCTAAAGCATCTAACTTTCTTCCTCCTGTCACAACGTTTCATTATTGGTCGATGAATCGAAGAAGAAATGATTTCTTGCAGAAATCTCCATAAGTTTAACAGGTTGACCGACACTTTTTAAATTGAAGAAATTCGATAAAGTGAGTTCTTTCGATTCTGGTTCTATCTTTTGATATCTAGAGCATCTAGATAACATCTGACAGGGAACATGTCCTAAATAATTCAAATGAACTCTCATCGTCTAGGTCGACAGGAGAGCGGTTGCAATAAAGAAAAGAATTTCAAGCCTCTCGACGAATGCTCGATTCAATTATCTCGAAGTGTTACATAACGATAGCTCTGGGAATCACCGAGGGAAAATGCTGGAAAAACGCTTCAATAGAAAACGTTTTCATGAATTGTAACCTGGCTGCAGTGACGCACGTGTCTCATCAACGTAGCTAATTCAAACGCCAATTGTAACGAAACGAATGAAATTAATATACAACGCTTTATAAATTTGATATTACTTTATAAATTAAGAGGAGAATTTTATGGAGAATTTTATTCCTTTACAAAATAAATTATAAATTTTATATTACTTTATAAACGAATTTATAAGTTTGATATTTCTTAGCAAATTAATTCTTGTTGTGGTCTTTATATATTAATCCATGCATTTGATATTACTTCACAAAGAAGCTTATAAATTTGATATTACTCTCTAAATGAATTTACAAATTGCAAATTATAAAATTGTCACGAATTTAAAAATTATAAAAATTTACAAAACTATAAACGAATTTGTATACTAACTCATAAATTTCATTTTCCTTTGTAAAATTATTTACAAATTTTTTGTCCTTCCATGAATGAATGTATAAATTTTTACTTCATAAATCCCAAAGTTTAGTATTCCTTTGCAAGTTAATTTGTAAATTTGATATTCCTCTATGAATTAATTTATAAATCTGATATTAATACGTTGTAAGGAATTTATCATTTTATGACGACCATTAAATGAAAGTATGTACAAGAAACAGAGCAAAATTACATTCTATGGCAAATGTAATATAACCCTAAGTAGAAATCCAGGCGACTTCTTGCAGACATTATTAGATTCTTGAACCATGGCACGTCATGTTGGTTTGTAATAGCTGTCAGCCAGTTCTTTTCTCCTCCAAGAGGGTATCGGTCATCATTGATCGAAAGATTCGGTCCTACCTGACCTTGATATTACGTTAATATTTGATCGACGATAAGCATTACTGTATTTTCATTCGGAATAACTGTACATTGCACATATTTCTATAGAAACAATGTGTGCTGCGTTGAGAAATCAATTTTCAGATTTAAGTACTAAATAATTGAAAAATTAAAACATTGAGAAATTGAGTAATTAGGTTTCTTGAAAATTATGTGTCTGAAAATTTGGGAAATTGAGGAATTGAAGAAAAATTGGATAATTTGTCGAATTGGAAAGTTGAAAAGTGAGACAGAGGAAAACTGAAGAATTATAAAATCGAAGAATTGAGAAACTGGAAAATTGAAAAATTGGAAACTTAAAAATTTGGAAACTTGAAAAATTGAGAAATTGAGAAATTAAGAAATTGAGAAATTGAGAAATTGAGAAATTGAGAAATTGAGAAATTGAGAAATTGAAAAATTGAAAAATTGAGAAATTGAAAAATTGAGAAATTGAGAAATTGAAAAATTGAAAAATTGAGAAATCGAAAAATTGAGAAATTGAAAAAATTGAGAAATTGAGAAATTGAGAAATTGAGAAATTGAAAAATTGAAAACTCGAACAATTGAGAACTTGAAAAATTTGAAAAAAGAAAATGAATATTTTTATATACTGCAAACGGTGACTACACAAATACTTTGAGTCGAATTTCACTGTATCAAATTCCAGAATATAAAGCACTAGTGAAGAAAAGTATGATCGTATTATCATAAGCAGCTTACTAACTTTTATACGGTATACAGTATTCGCGAATTCCATAAGAACGAAAGGAGGAAAAAAAATAAGGCAAAAAGAAGACGAAGGGCCACAATAGGCCGGGATTTAGGGTGTAAGGGTCGCGTGAAAACGTTCCGTGAACCGTGAAGGCTTTTCGACACAAATGAAAAAGTTAGTATCATCACCGCGATTTAGCCTTTTATTTTCAGCCTGATAAAATTACTCGGCATGCCCGTGAAATACAAGCATAATACCATATGACACTGCGGAAAGCTGCACAGGGATGAAACACGACGAGGGTAGATTAAACTTGAAACATTTTGCGAGACTTCGAAACAGTTTCTGTTTAGAATTTCGTTTGTTTCTAGATTTCGTTACATGCTCGAAGAAACTGTATAAATTAATGGTAAATTAACTTTATTCTAATAATTAGTATACCAATGTTGAATACAAGCTTTCGAAGTATTTGTACATCAAAGAGAATTCAGGTTACTGGGTAAGAACAACGAACTGAAACGAAACATGTTTGCAAACTTCTTTATCTTTTAAGAACTGTTGGAAATTGCACGAATCACGACTAAAACGTAACTCGTTTCATCGGATAAAAAGGATTACGTCAAATGAATGTACCAAGTTGGCCAACTAATTTACTTTCATACCTTAATCAAGCTTTATGTATATTTTTATATGCTGTTTCCTAAGAAAACGTATTCCATGCTAAAAGTTGAGTCATCAAGGTTTTTGTTCATTGAAACCAGATTTTATTAAATATAAAAATGATGATGTTTATAATTGGAGATAAATGAATATTCTCAAAAACTTGTACAATTTTTACAGTAAATCAATAATAATATGATTGCAATAGACTCATAAGACACCTTTCAATTTTGAATTCAATGTAATAAATAATTTTTCAAACAACTCTAAGTATTTTTAAATATTTACCCAAAACATAAATCATATAATATGATGTATTTTAATCAAACACTTTGTCAAAAAATTTTCTCTAAAAACATCCAAAAATTTAAAACAAACACCTTCGTCTAAATAAACCATCCTTAAATTAGCTTGATAATGTTCACGTTCAAGCAACCGTATATCAGGCCATCAACGAGACTATAAATAACCTCTCCAAATTATCCAAATTAAGAACGGAGCAATCTGGCAATTACGTAGCCGACAAAAACAATAATCCGTTAGGATTTTTGCATTCTCCTCACAGCCCAGTACAGTTAAGTCTTCCGAGAAACAATTAGATTACTGAGTCCTCGAGAGCAACAACCGTCGGAGCCGCGGTACTTGCGCAACAATCGTAAAGTACAGACTCGAACGCGATCGCATTCGTTGTTACGTCGGAACACAACAGCTACCTGAACATTCCGTGAACACACAAAGTGGTTGGAACAACACTTATAGCGGGAGGGGGTTTAGAAAAAGAGAGAGGGATTTCTTCGACCACGGTTGATCCGACTCCAGAAGCGCAGCTGTCGACCGTAGCCGCAGACAGCCGCACGATTCTTGCTCGACGCGGCTTCTCTCGGCCAGTTTGCGTGCTGAGCGTGCCGCGATCGGTCGCATCCTTCTGCGACTAGTGTCCTTTCATACAAACACCTGCAGGATACACTCGGTTGCAACGTTTTCCTTTGGATAAGCGGCTTAGAGAGGGGCCTCCCTTTTTCATTTGGGGAGAGCTGTAAGCTTCTGTTTTTAATATCATTACGGAACTTTTTGATGGTTTTATATATTCCTCATCCTCGTATTTCGGAACCTTCACATTTTAATATGGATGTAAATTGGAAAAGTTTTGGAGTGTTTCCAATCACATGATCGAATATCTTCGAATGTCCTCACGTGTTTGGATTCCTATATTCACAAAGTTACTTCTTCAAATCCTTACATGCCTAAATTCCTGCATTTCAAAATTATTTGTCTAAATCTCACTTACACAAATTTCTAAATATGCAAATCTACATATTCTCAAATCGGTTTGTAAAATCTCCACATGTCCAAAATCTAACACTCTCAAATTCCCATATGCCTTGATGCTCATATGCCCAAATCTCGAACTCATCAATTTCCAAACTTCCAAATCTTCACGTCCTCAAATTGTAAAATTGTCAAACTTTTAATATTCCAAATTGCACACATGTCCAAATACACACATGTTCAAATTCACACATGTCCAAATTCACACATGTCCAAATTCACACATGTCCAAATTCACACATGTCCAAATCCTCACGTCCTCAAATTGTAAAATTGTTAAACTTTTAATATTCCAAAATTCACACATGTCTAAATACACACATGTCCAAATTCACACATGTCCAAATTCTCACCAATCTAAATTTCTACATCCCCGAATCCCACATATATAAATTTCTAAATTTCCAAAACCCCACATTCGCAGACCCTTAAACCTTTACCATCTCCACATTACCAAACTCTAAATTCCCAAAACCCAAAATATTCAAATTCCCAAATTTCCACACTCCCAAATTCCCAAATCCCTAAATCTCCAAACTGCAAAATCCCCTACTAAATTCCTACTAAAGTTTCAACCTTGCGAAACCCCTTTCTAAACCTTCTCCAAAGGAAGTCTTGCCCCCAAAAACACAGTGGTCCAGTGTATACTACATTTCAAAAAAATTGACTTGATCAATCGAAACTAACTCTGTTCACTTTCAAACACACCAAAAATACGCACGTTTGATGTTCAAATGCCTAAAAACATAGTGTTGCATAAAATTGTATTATTTGAAGTCCAATCAAGGTGTTAAAACATCCAATGAAGGTGTTAAAGATGACACGCCATGGAAGATGAAAAGTTTTTAAGATTACAAAGTCTGAGGATTTATGAGACACTCGACTTGTAACACGATCGACCTGACTTAATCCCTCGTTTCCGTTTGGAGAGCAGCAAGAAAGCAGGAATCTTCCGGTGGAAAGGAAATGGAAGAGGCAGAGGAGGCAGACAACCGAGGTCGAAGACGGCGAAGACGACGCAGACGAGGACGCGACGTTGAGGATCACTTCGAGGCCTGAGAGATTCGGAGAATGGCTGCCTCTCGCGTCGATTCGCGAATCGGCGATACCAGATTATCAATCCCGGGTAATCATAGATCCAGGGAGCTAGAGTTTCGAGGATCATCTGACGAGGAAGCAACGATTAACAAAGAGAACGAAGCAAATTATCTGACCGATGAAGATAACGAAGGACGTTACAAATGTATGGTTCACGATTGTTCCGACCAAAAGAAGTCGCTATTTGATCCAGATAAAGAGGAATTCGCTGACCGACGAGAAACTTCTCCAAGGGAGATCAAAGATCCCAAAAGTTCCCAAAACGAAGCACGCAACTTTCAATCGATCGATCGCGTGCAGCCTGGGGTCAAAGCGATACAGATTAAGAATACGGAATCGAAGAGAGGGAGCAACGAAACAGCAATTTCCACCAGGGTTATCTATAAATTAGTCGAAGCCGGCAAGCACCCTGAAGACACGGTGAGAGGGGATCAATGCGAAGCCTCGCCACAGATTCACGCGAATTTGATCGTCGATAGGGACGATTCGCCTGAGGGTGCAACGTCCGGAACGGAAGTGCCTCGTAAACCGGCCGATTCTCCGACGGCCATAAAGGACGAGACCGCCAGCCAGGGCGGCCCGAGATCCTCAACGCCGGTTCGTAAACAGACAAAATGCGAGAATTGTGGAGAACCGCATCCTATTTACACCGAACGTCCTTATCTGCATAAATACCCCAGCTATTTGGACGGCGATGCGCTAGAATATGGCGTTAAAGATGGCGAGAAGGGGATAGAATTCAGACAGGAGACTCCGGTTGCGTCCTTGCTGTATCGCAGCAAGTCTCTGCCGCGATTGTCGATGCACGACAGCGGTGTCGCGTGCAGTGGAAACGAACAGGTTCACGCGGCCGCTGCACCGCACGCCAAACAACTGGTAGCCGATCTGAAGCAGTTACATACATTGAAACAACATTACTACCCTGAAGGAGGCTGGGGATGGATCGTGGTGTTCACGGGGGTTCTGGTCCAGGTGCTGTCCCATGGGATACATGGATCTAACGGGATCATCCTGCAGCAGGTGGCTTACAAATTTGGCAACCATGTGTACTTGGAATCAGGTTAGTCGGATTGTTATTGAATGATTGTTAGATGCTGAATGATCAGGTTAATCAAGTGATGAGGTCATATGATATTCATTTCATCAAGTCAGATGATATTCGAACCTTAATCAGAGGTTAAGATGATTAGGTCAGTCAGATGTTGAATCAGGTCAGACACATAATGTGAAATTGATCAGATCAGACAGGTGATGTTAAGCTGATCAAGATGTGATGTTATATGATCAGGTTTCTCAGACGATATCAGGTGATCGGATTAATCGAATGCTGCTAACATGATCAATTTAGCCAAACAACGTTAAAATGATCAAGTCAACATGATGCTAGATGAGATTAGTAAAATGATGTCAGATATTCGAGTTAACCAACTGATGTCAGGATGATCAGGTTAATCAAGCGATATTAAGATGGTCAGGTTAGTCAGATGATATAAGATGAACAAGTCAGTCAAATGGTATGAGATGAGCAAATTAGTCAAATGATGACATGATCAGTATACTTTGATAATGTTAATCAGGTCAATCAAATGATGTTCGATGATTAGATTGCATATGGTGTTTACTGTTATATGCTATTATCAAAATAGTTAGACAACTATTGAGACATGTGTTCAAGAAAAATGCATCTTCATAAGTGGTCCATAATAATAGTGGTATTATTATTACTGCACACCATCATACTGTTATGCAATATTACTAACATCACTATTTCTATTATAAACAATTACCAATATCAAAAGATAAATGGCGTTAAAAGGCATCAGTGACTCAGAAAAAGTTCGAACGAGGTTACAAGAACCCAACAAACTAGCAACACCACTAGATCCATTAAGCCTACCACTACTCTCCTAACTTCTAACCAAGTGATCACACGTCCCCCGCTAAAACAAGAATCAGTTGACAGGCCAACGTCAGTGAAACGCTCGTATTCACAAATTACATGAATGTAACACGCACCTCTCGCATTCCGGACATAGTTCTAAAAGCGGAACGTCCCTTCGCGACACAAACACGACACGCATTAGCGTTTCGCGTCGACTCCCGAATGGATACCCCTCGAATAAATCCATTCGTGTGCACGTCGCATCCGTGTCCTCTTCAAGTTTGATCAGCCACGCGTTTGCGTAACGAATCGATTGATGAAGCGACAACAACAACGTCGATTTTTCACGGCTCTCAATTTACCTTGGGCGTGCTAAGCGTGCATAATCACCCATGCGGGAAACAATTTCCAGACGGTTCTACAGAAAATTGAGCCACGTGCACGTTTGACCTTCCTCGAGACGATATCGACCTGTGATATTACTTGTTTGAGGAGCGTTGAGGAGAATTTATATTCGTTTCCATGTTTAATATTGTTGGATGTGGGATTCAAGATTTGGGATATTGGAATTTTGGGGAGGTTGGGATAGGAAGGTTGAGATTTTAGAATTTTGGGATTTTCAGGTTTTGATAGTTTGATATTTTGGGATTATGCGAACTTGGAAGTTTGGAAGGATGAGAATTTGGAAATTTTAGGGTTTGAAATATAGGAATTTTGAGGCTTTGCTATTTGGAGGTTTGAAGTTTTGGGCTTTTGGGATTTTGGGACTTTGGGACTTTAGGACTTAGAGAACTTGAGAATTTGGAGTTTTGAGAAGTTGGGAATTTCGAAATTTTGGACTTTGAAAATTTGGGAAATTTGGAACTTGGGAATTTGGGACTTTGAGAATTTGGAAAATTTGAAATTTGAGACTTTGAAAATTTGGGAAATTTGTAAGATGGAAACTTGAGAATTTGGGATTTTGAGAATTTGGAAAATTTGAACTTTGGAAACTTGAGAATTTGCGACTTTCAGAATTTGGAAAATTTAGAATTTGGGAACTTGGGAATTTGGGAATGTGGGAATTTGGGAACTTAGGAATTTGGGAATGTGAGAATTTGGAAATTTTTGACCTACGATACTTTGAATTTTGAAAATTTGAAATTTCCCAAAAATTCCCAAAATTCCCAAAATTCCAAAAATTCCAAAAATTCCAAAAATTCCAAAAATTCCAAAAATTCCAAAAATTCCGAAAATTCCAAAAATTCCAAAAATTCCAAAAGTTCCAAAAGTTCCAAAAATTGTTAAATTTCTAAATTCGGAATTTTTAGAATTTAAAGTTGTGAAAAAAATTTGAAAACAATGTTGAAATCTCGTAGGATGCACCTTCCATTTCGTTTTCCATCACTTTCCCCGATTTCTACGGGTTTGCCCTCATGTACATCGCGATTTGGGCGCGGGCCAAGCAGCCGAGTGTCGCCAAGTATTCCTGCATCTGCCGACCAATAAACGGGATATGAATCGCGCTAATTATACGCGACACTTTCTCACCGCCCATCCATTTCGCTTCGCGACAACGCGTGAAGAAAAGGACTCGCTCGATTACACCCTTTGGCAAGTGTTCCCGCTCTTGTCGTAAAGTTTGTACTTTTTAGACCTCCATATGGCTTACTGAATCGATATGACGGTTTTTCGTGGTATTTCGTGACTTTACACTGAAAGTCAACAAATAAGCTTGGGAACATATGTTACATCTAGAAGTATTTGTTCTTTGTACCATGTACAGTACGACATCTAACAACTATAGTAATCTAATAACAAAAAAAAACTTCCATGAAACCTTATGATGTGATAAAACATAGCTTATAAATATTATAATAAATAATACATATTATAATGCTTATAAATATATAAATATTTGAATATAATACTGTATGTGTCACCTTTAAAATAACTCACTTAATTTATTAAAATTTCGATCAGATTTTCGACAACCGAAAAAAATAACAAGAGAAAAATAAGTTAAGAATCCCATGGAAATTAGGTGAAATATATTATGTTATTACATAATTGCTTTATGATTGCTTATTACTAAAATAAAATTGAACAATTTAAAATTTGAAAAAATTGACAAAATTAAAAAAGAAATTAATTTTGAATTATCTCTTCGTTGATATAATTTGACATCCCACAATTTATTTTCTGTGTAATAAGTGGATATTTTTAAAAGTTTCATGCAGAAAACTGAACTAGCTAACTGACCATCATTTTTAGACCTTGATTTGGAGCAATCTAATCAACCGAAATCAGAAGTCGGATTAACTGAAGAGAGAATCGATTTACGTTCTTTAAATGACCACCTGATCTCATGTGTGTACGCACTGGTTCAGATTAAACGACGCTTTCTCGAATGGGAACAGGATCGGCGCTCTATCGTGACGTCAGTCATAGCCACTAAATCCTCGAATCGTTTCACCGACATATCGAGAATCGAACGAGCAGACCCTCTTGGAGTGTGACGTAAAAGTGAGAGAACAGTTCCTCTTTGTGGGAGAACATTCTGCACGATTGGTTTGATTAACGAGCTCGGTTCTTCTAAAATTATTACATATCAAGGTTTTATAATTTAGTCATTCTCTGATACGGAAAGTACAATTTATATATTAATTTGATTTTTTCAAATTTAATTTTGCAATTTTTTAGATTTTTAAATTTTTATGTTTAAGAATCTTCAAATTTATAAGTTTTGGATATGTAAATTTCAAATGAGTAAAATTCCTAAATTTAAACATTCTGAAATTATTGAAGTACCAAATTTTCAAATTCTGAAATTTCCCAAACACTAAATCTGAATCTCCTAAATCCCCAAACCGTAAATCCCCATCTCTTAAATCCCCATCTCTTAAATCTCCAACTCCTAAATTTCCAAATTCTAAATCACTAAATCCTAAATTCCCAATACCTAAATCCCTAAATTCTAAATCACCAAATCCGAAATTACTAACACCTAAATCCCCAACTCCTAAATCCTCCAAACTTCTGAATCCCCAACACCTAAATCCCCAACTCCTAAATCCCCGACACCTAAATCCCCGACACCTAAATCCCCAACT